TGCGGAGCCCGTTGCAACAGGCGGAAGCTCCTAGATCGGCAAAGCCCTGCCTCGGCTCGAGGCCCCGGTCCAGGGTGAGCCGGGCGCGCAGCTCCCCCTGCTGGACGCGCCAGGGACCACGGGCCCAAAACCCCTCGAAGCAGCCCCACCCCGGGGCCGGGGGGGTAAATTTAAATTCCCCCCCCCTTGAACCCGATTGGGTCGCCTGCTCACCCCCTCCGGCCAATCACAGCCGCGAACGCACTCCCGTGAGCACACGACCAATCGCCAGGGCGTCCGCATCCGGGCGTCCGCAGCACCCAATGGGGCGAGGCCCACATCCGCATCCCACCCCTCCACCACACACACGCCCCGCCACCGGAAACCGCTCCAGCCAATAGGCGGCGGGGCGGTGCCGGCGCTTCCGGGCGGGGCGAGGCGCTGGGGCAGGGGCGAGCCAATGGAGCGGCCGGGGAGGCGTGTCGGCAGCCAATGGCGCGCCAGGGGGCGTGTCCGGCCTTCCAGAGAGTTCGGAGCAGGGTGGAAGGAGATCGAGCAGCTGCGGGTGAGTGGCGGCCCCGGGCCCCGGCCTGGCCCCCACTCCCCACCCCGGGGTGCCCAGGCCCGACCCCCCCCCCGTCCTTGCTCCGGGGCAGACCCACCTGTAGCAGCCGGGGGGGCATTGGGGTGTGCATGAGGGTGAGGGCAGCGAGGGCCGGCAGTGGACCCCTTGTTTTCCTCTCCTAGCGAATCCCCGACCGAAAAGATGGTGAAAGAAACCGGGTACTACGACCTGCTGGGCGTGCGACCCGGCGCCACCTTGGAGGAGATCAAGCGAGCCTACCGGCGCCTGGCACTGCGCTACCACCCGGACAAGAACCCCAGTGAGGGCGAGCGGGTAGGTGCTGCGGCGAGCGGGTAGGTCGTGGGGTGAGCAGGGGGCAGGGGGGTCGGCGCCTCTGACCCTGCATCCCTCTCCCCACCCCAGTTCAAGCAGATCTCGCAGGCCTATGAGGTGCTGTCGGACACCCAGAAGCGCGCGCTGTACGACCGGGGCGGAGAGCGCGCCATGAAGGAAGGGGGCGCGGGCAGCCGCGGGGGGTTCGCGTCCCCCATGGACATCTTTGACCTGTTCTTCGGAGGCGGCGTGCGGATGCGTGGCTGGGCTGACAGGCGAGGTACCTAGTGCAGGGTTTGCGGGGCGGAGTGGGTAGGGAGACCGTACTCGTTCACACCCTGCCTCATTCTCGCTGGGCGAGGTCGCACCCAGCTCTGCCCTTCCTGTGTCTGTGTTAAGGATGCTTGGAGCTTGGGCGGGAGGTATCGGAGGACACTTCCCAACCCGGACTACGAGGCAGCGCTGTGCCATCGATCACTCGCCCGGTACAAGGCCAGGCCCTAAAGCCATGGGGGGCTTCCGTCAACCCCAGGGCCGAGGGGCTGCTCCCAGCGGCCAGATGCATACGCCGTTGCAGCATGGGTGCCAGGGTGTTTACAACGAAGGCGTTGGGTTTAATAGCAGGGTTGTTGGGCAACACCCGGGCTGCAGATAAAAACGTCTTGTGGCAAATAGGTCAGGAGATGAGGAAACAGGGCCAGGGCAGGGAACAGCCTGACGCAGCTGCTTTGCGGGTGGGAACAAGATCACAGGGACACAGGACAATTAAGAGATCAGGCTGGGAGGGTGCAGGAACGGCTGGTGAGCTGCACACAGGAAACAAGCTGACATGTGCACACGTCTTATGCAAAAATCCCGGCCCAGAGAGCTGTCAAGGAGATAGATGCACAGACCGGGTGCTCGCATCGGGCTCTGGTTTCAGAGGGGTGGTGGAGTCTCCATTTTCAGAGTTTTTTAAACCCCAGGTAGAGAAAGCCTTGCTGGGATGATGTAGTTGGGGCTGGTCCTGCTTGGAGCAGGGGCTTGGACTAGATGTGACCTCCTGAGGGCCCTTCCGACCTTCATTTTCTGTGATACGCTCAGTCGTCTGATCACTTTTTGGTCAGCAAGGACTGGTGCAGAGACTGCGTCTAGCTGAGAAGCTGGGACACAGCAGGCCGGGTCCAACCTGGCCTAAGAGAGAGAAACTAATGGGTCAAAGGGGCAGCTACCCTTGCCCTGTCCGAACCTGTTGTGTGAGCCTGTTACCATACAGCTGTCATGTTCCACCCCAGAGCTTGGGGGCATTTTCAAGCCGGGTTGTCAGTCTCAGGGCAGCAGTCCTTGGGGCTAAGCTACTGCCATGTTCCTCCCAAGAGGTGGCTGCATGGTAGGGCTAGGTAGGCAGCCCCAGTGGATCATGGGTGTTAAGCCTGACATCTCTCCGGGCAGGGAAGACTGTGGTGCATCAGCTTTCGGTGTCACTAGAGGACCTGTACAGCGGCACCACCCGGAAGCTCTCCCTTCAGAAGAATGTCATCTGCAGGAAGTGTGGTGGTAAGCACTGGGGCCTGGGAGGGGGATGGGGGACAAGAGTCCGGGCTGCATCTTGGCTTAGTGAAATGGGCTGGGAAGCACAGCCCTATCCCTCTGGAGCCATCCAGTCAGAAACAGGTGGTGACTCCCTTTTCCCATGCGCCTGGCGCTGTGCATCAAGGGGCAGGGAGTGTCAGGACTCCTGGGTTCTTACCCATGGCTCTGATTGATTGATTGACTGCCAGCTTGGGCCAGTCTGTGCCCTGGAACTGGGGCAGTGGGGAATGAGGCTTCCAGCCTGGCCCTCCCATTTTCTGTGCTGTGGTCAGAGCAGGAGTACCCTGTGCCCCCAGCAGCTTCCCCTGGTTTGGGGCCGGGGTCAAGGAGGGGCTCAGGCAGCACTGATTTATCTCCCAGCACTGACACCCAGCCCCGCCATCCCTCCACCTCTATCCACAGGTTGCGGGGTGCGAGAGGGCGCCCAGCGGAGGTGCCCCAAGTGCCACGGGTCTGGCATGGAGATGCGCATCCACCAGTTGGGGCCTGGCATGATCCAGCAGATTCAGACCATGTGCTCGCAGTGCCAGGGCCAGGGTGAGTGGATCCGGCCCCGTGACTGCTGCCCGGCTTGCAATGGCCGCAAGGTGGTGCGTGAGAAGAAGATCCTCAGCGTCCACCTGGACAAAGGTGAGGCAGGGGTACTGGGGGGTAGGGGTGGGGACTCCTGGGTTTCTTTCCTGCTTTTGTGACGACACAGCCTCCTTCAGTGGCTCTGTCACAAGACAGGCAGCCAGGCTTGTTGTTCCTGCCTGCCTATGTTCCCCCTGCACTTGTGGTCTAATGTAGGGGGTTCTTTACCTCTTGTCCTGTATGACTCAGTAGTGTTGTGGCATGGCTGTGAAATGGCACCACCCCAGAAGTGGCCCCATTTCTGGTAACACAGAAGCGGGGAGCAGGGAAACAGGCCCCTGAGCTGTCAGCGTCCCACTTGCAGGCATGAAGGATGGGCAGAAGATCACGTTCCATGAGGAAGGGGACCAAGTGCCTGGGCTGGAGCCCGGGGACATCATCATTGTGCTGGACCAGAAAGAGCACCCTGTGTTCCGGCGCAGTGGCAATGACCTCATCTTCCGCAAGGAGATCAGCCTGGCCGATGCGCTCTGCGGCTGCCGGCAGCTCATTCGCACTTTGGACAACCGTACCCTGCTCATCTCCTCCCAGCCAGGTGGGTCAGGCACCCGGGACGCCTGGGTTCTTCCCTTCTTCGGGCTGGGAAGGATGGGGGGACATGAGTTCTAGAGCAGAAGGGATCGGGCACCAGCACTACTGGGTTCTCCTCTGGGCTTTGGAGGGGAAGGGGGACCTATAGTTAGAGCGGCGGCTGGAAACCAGGACTCCTGGGTTCTCTTCTGAGATCACAAGGAGGTTGTCTAATGGTTAGAGCAGATTTCAGGATTCCTTATATCTGTTCCCAGCTCTGCTGGATGACTTTAGGCAAAGTGTTCTGTATCTCGGTTTCTACCCCTGGAATGGGGAAGGGGTGATGATATTTTCCCACTCTGCACCCCCAGGTGATGTCATCCGACCTGGAGACCTAAAGTGCATCCCCAACGAGGGCATGCCTGTGTACCGCAGCCCCTACCAGCGCGGCAAGCTCATCATCCAGTTCCAGGTAAGGATCCTCCCCTGCATTATGGAGAGTGGGGACAGATCCTGGCTTCCTGTTGCCCTGGGGTTGCTGGGAGACCGGTCTGGTTTCCAGGGAGCTTTCCTGTCTCCTTGGAGATGGGCTCCCACACTGATCCTGATCCCCCTCCATCTGTCTCTCTCCCCCCCAGGTGAAGTTCCCAGAACCCGGCTGGCTGCCAGCCGACCAGCTGCGCCAGCTGCAGGCCTTCTTCCCAGCCCAGGAGGAGGTGATGGCGACGGAGGACACGGAGGAGGTGGAGCTGAGTGAATATGTGCCACAAGCTGAGCGCGGGCGGCGCTCCCACGCTGGCGAGGCCTACTATGAGGACAACTACGATGGCATGCGGCAGCATGTCCAGTGCCAGACCTCGTAGCCCACCCTGGGGCCGGGGACCTGCCCCTACCCCATGGACGGGGAGGGGAAGGACAGGCGAGGGGCTGAGCCACGCCTATCAGGGATGTAAATAGCAAAATCCTCCCCCCTTTCAAGCTCGCGGGGTTTGCGGGGCCTGGCCAGGCTCAGACACTCCCTGGGGATGCCCTTCCACTCCCATGGTGGGAGGAGTCTTGGCATTGCTTGCTGTGGGGCCAGTGCCCCCCATCCTGGCAGGATGTGCTCTGGGAAGATCTGGTGGGGGTGAAGATGTAAGATCCAGGGAGATGGAGCTAGAAATAGGAGCTTGGATCCAGAGCCATCTGGCAGGGGTTGGAGTTTGGATCCAGGGAGCTCTGGCAGGGGGTAGAAGCTTGGAATCCAGGGAGCTCTGGCATGGGTAAGAGCTTGGGATCTAGGGAGATCTGGCAGGGATAGGAGCTTGGATCCAGGGAGACCTGGCAAGGAGAGGAGCTTGGGAAACCTCTTGGTGCTCCTTTTCTGGGAGCCGCAGAGGAGGAGCTCCAGGGCCCAGGGCATCGGGATTGCTGTAAATGGGGCCCCCGAGCCCTGGTAATGGTGACTCGCTCCCTGCTCAGGCCCCTGTGCAACACCCTGTCAGTGCCTTCTCTTGCCTGGGATCAGGTCCTCCCAGGAAGCAAAGCCTCAGACCTAGCAGGGATCAGCCCTGATCCTGCACCTGGAGCCACCCTACTGCTTCGTGGGTCTCTGGTGGGAGGAAGCTCCCAGGCCTGGATAATCCATTGCACTGCCCTGAGGACCTGTGGCAAGGGCATGGGGGGCCAGCCGGTGAGGGCTCAGCCCCCATCTGGGAGAGCCCCAAGGCCCCCAGTGCTGGTCCTGAATTGTGTGCAGCTTCTGCTGGTGGCTGGGCTCCTATCTCCATACAGCTCTGAGCGCATTCACCTGCTTCCCGCCAGCTCTGCTTGCAGCAGAGCCCTTTGGAGTCCTCCCCCGAACCCACACCCGGAGGCTGAGAGAAGAGTTAAGCATCCAGCTTGGTTCTGAGAGGGCAGCGGAACGCAGCACGGTATGGCCCAGTGATTAGAGAAACACCCATCGCCCAGCTCTGTCAGAGACTTCAGACACATTGCCTTCCTCCGTGCCTGGGTTTCCTCCCATCTGCATGGAGACGTGGAGGCCCCAGGCAGGGGCAACAGAAAGAGCCCCAGTGGGTGCCGATCCCGAAGTCGTCTGGGGAACCTTCCTGCCGGGGCCGATGCTACAAAGCTGCCTGCCCTTGCCCCTTCCTTCGTCCCGCTGCTTCTGAGACCTGGAGACATCCAAGCAAGAGGGCAACATCGGGGGACTTTGCTGGGGATGGATCATCTGTCAGCTCCTTTGCCCCTGCCGGACACGCTGCAGCTAAGCTAAGCTAATCTGTGGACCAGTGGCTCTGGGATGGCGCGGGGCAGCCACAATGTGATGTGCATGGGCTGAGATGAGGAACCCTCCATTGCCAGGGGTCTTACTACGGCTGGAGGGGACATTTGCTTTGGCAGCTGTTGTTTTCAAGACAGAGGGATGACAGGACCGGTGCCAGGGGCCAGCAGGCAGCAACCTTTTGGGTGCAGCTGGGGATATGCAGGGAGCTGCCAGCCTTTGGATGGCTCCAGTTGGCAACCGATGCTTGGGAGATGGGCAAATCAGGAGCCACAAAGTACAGCCATGCTTGTGGGCTGGTGGCTGCAGTTTCTGAATACAGCCACAGGCTAAATCAGGGCCCTGGGGCTGTCTACAACCCCAGGGCTTTTTTTGGGGGTGGCAGGTGTCTGCAGAAGGCACCAGAGGTGGGGGAATCCAACCCAGACATGGGCCCCAGCTGCCTTGTCCCTGCTGGAATTGCTCTGGTCTCAGGGTCCCAGCAGACACTGGTCCCCAGAGTCCTCAGGGGTCCAGTCTCTGGGATGCCTGGGCATCTATTGGCAGCACAAAGGGGCAGGTGGGGGGGGACAGGAGCCAGGGAGGGGTCAGGTTGCCTGCTTCACTTGCTTTAGCGGGTTTCGTTCTGGGTTAGGCAGGGAAGTAGCACTGTAGACTGTCTCCCTTCTCTGGAGGGGAAACCCCTTTTAATTTATTTTTGAAAGGATTTTAAAGGTCATTTGGTTTCTTCCCCCCCTCCTTTTTTTGGAGACTTTGTACATGGCATTAAAAGCAACCCCCAGTGCAGCCTGTGTCCCTTGCTCTCTTCCAGCAGCCTCCAGGGCAGGGGGGGGCAGAGATAAGACTTGGGTAGGTGAGGAGCCAGGACAGTTGTGGTTTCAGGCCCTTTTTCTGCCAGATTTGGCCCGAGCCTTAGGAAGTTTGGGTGAAGCCTGGCTTTGCAACTGCATGACCTGGGCCACGTTCCTTGGCCCCACACCCGTGCACTAGTGAGGTGGGGGCGATGCCACCAAAATGCACTTTGTGATACACTGGCAGACCGCGCTAGATAGGATCCAGGCGCCACGACTAATTATTATTTGTCATTAAGCCTCCAGCAGGCAGGGTGGGTTGCTGGGCTTTGAAGCTTTCTCCAGAAATCTCCGAGTGGGGTGGGGTTGGTTTTCCCCTCTTCTGGGCAACTCTGAAGGCGTCTGATGCCTCTGGAGGGATTTCTAAATCTCCCGGGCATGATCAAAAGCAGGGCAGGGTCTTGTCAGAGGCCTTTTCTCCATAGTGTTCCTTCAACGCTTGAGTTAAATGTTAATGACCCCCTCCTAAAAATAAAGGGTTTTCAAGCTCCCTGGGGAAAGTCCCTGCCCTCCCCAGCTGGGTTTCATGCAGTTGTTTCTTCTGATGTGAAACCAGAAGCCACAGGCCAAAGTTTGCAAGACAAACAGCTCGGTCTTGGAGTCAGGTCTGGTCTCTAGAGCCTGGAGGGTCATCGGGACTGTCAGCCACCAGCTCCTAGATGCCACCCTAATACATAGCGGGTAGCGGTGCCACCCTAGATACCACTCTAATACACAGGTATAAACCACCTGTGTCTGCAGGCAGACTAGTCTCGGGGAGGAGATTAAATACAAGGGAGGAGAGATTAAATATGAGGGGGTGAGAGATGCCAGGATTTAGCAAGAGGGAGGCTGGGATATAAATGCGCTGAGCTCTTGTCCTTGCCCTTGAGAGCAGGGAGGAGCAGAGAGGAAAGCTGGAGAAGGCATTGTGCATGCATGGAAGAGGGGGAAATGCCCTGGCAGCACCCTGCAAACTGGCTCAGGACCCTTGGGGTCTATGCCCAGCCCTGCCAGGGAAGAGGGTGGTTTTGGGCAAGATGCCACCCTCCCTGTGCCTCAGTTTACCCCACTTATATAATGGAGCAGAGCTTGTTGCTTCCCAGGAGAGGGTAAGAGCCCCAGGGCCAGGTGGGTTTAAAGGAGCAGCAGAGAGTGGGAGCATTGTGGGGCCAGGGGTTTCCAGCTATGGGTGCAGGATGCAAACATGGGGTACCAGCCTAGCCATGTTTCCCCCTCTGGACGTCTCCAGGCCCCCACAGCCTCCACCCACGAGCCCCATCTCCCAGGGGTGACAGGGCAGCTGGGCCGTTCTGCAGCTCAGGGAAGCCCCTCCACCAGGTGCCTCTGCCGAGAGCGGGTTTGAACGGAGCTCCCACCCCTGCCCTGCCACACTGTGCAGGCCCCGATCCCTGGCTGAGCTCCACAGGCTGCTGGATGGGGTGTGGGGTGTTTTCATGGCCAGGTTGTGGGTAGGAGCACTGCAGAGTCGCTGCTTCCTCTTTCCATTTGCCACCCAGCTGGAGCTCAAGGCCAAAAACTGTCGGTGAGTCAGCACTCGCTGCTGTATGTCACTCCAGGGCTGCCCTTGCATACGCACTGGGGGGCAGAGAGGGTTCACCCTGATATTTTGCAACTCTGCTGCCCTTGCTGGGCCCAAGGCACAGCTGAGTCACTGAAGCATCACAACCCCCTGGGAAGGAATCAGCAGCATCTGCCTGCATGGGGAAACAGGCAGAGAGGGAAGGACCCCACCTGATGATCACGATGGCAGAAGCTGGGATGAAACCCAGGAGTCCTGGCTCCCTTTCCTCTCCCCTTACACCACCAAACAGCATTGTTGCCCCGTGCCCAGCATTGAACCCAGGAGTCCTGGCTCCCAGCCCTGCTCTTGTACCCACGTGGCAGTGTCCCAAGTGAGTCAAGCCAGCCTGCAATATGGGGCAGGACACAATCCCCACCCCAGGCCTGGGGCAGCTGCCCCACCCCACAGCCCTCATGTAGACAGTGCATCCCAGGGAGCTGCTCTGTCTCTGCCCTGCTGCTTGCAATGCCGCCGGTAGCCACCAGGTGTCAGTGTTACCTTGGCAAAGCATTGTGCCCAGCCCAGGGGGGTTTGGGGGTGCCTGCACCCTCCTTAGCTTTGGGTAGGAGGGAAGGGCACCCTATCCGACCCCCAAAAACACACTCAGCAACCCCAGCCAGGGAGGCTTCCAGTTAAGTAGCTGCTGTCTGATTAATGGGCCCCCCTGAGATTTGGGGGAGCTGCTGTGGCTTCCACCCCCCGTGGCAGGGGGTGCAACTAGCAGGGGCTCCCCCACACCAAACCTGGCTCCAAAAGCTACACAGCGGCGCACTCCAGATCAGGGCAAGACACCCAGCAGGCGCTGTCAGCACAGCCCAGCACTGATGTACGGCCCGGCAGGCAGGAGCGCTCTCTCTCTCTGTCTGTCTGTCTCTGTCTGTCTGTCTCTGTGTGTGTGTGTGTGTGTGTGTGTGTGTGAGAGAGAGAGAGAGAGAGAGAGAGAGAGAGAG